CTATACTTTTGAATGTGTAAAAATGTATTATTTTATGGAGTCAAAACCTGTGAACTCACCAACTTTATGTTGACGTATTTTAAAATGCATGTGTTTTCAGGAACTTGAAAAGCTGGTATGTATTCGAGCAGAAGAAGTTTTACTATTATCTTTATGTTCATTAAGAAGTATGTCATAGTCGGATATTACATAATTAATACTAGGAAAACAATAATGTAACTTTCAAACATCAATAAAGGTATGTACTTTCTGTAAGTATTGTTCAATGTATGTTATATAACCGTGATACGAAAAATGACGTTACACTACCCGGTGTTTTCGCCGACGGCTGGGGTGTGATAGCTTAGCACTTTATTAGGATGCTTTTGATTGACAAACCTTTAGGAAAAAGCATATAGACATCTTCTTGCACATATCCATTAAGAAAAACGGTTTTGAAATCGTTTTTCCATATCTCACATTTGTAATATGAGGATATGGTAAATAGTGTAATAATTGATTTAATCATATAAACTGTAGTAAAGGTATGTTCATAGTCAATACCATGAGTTTGAGTGAAACCTTTTGGAACAAGTCTTGCTTTAAATGTATGTATACTACCATCCATGACAATTTTCTTCTTGAAGACCCACTTACTCCATAAATTCTTACTATGTGGAAGAAGCTCAACCACATCCCATACTTTATTTTCATGTATGGATTAGATCTCATCATTCATGACTTCAATCCATTTGTTAGATTTGTAATTTGACATAGTATCCTGGTAGTTGATAAGTTCACCCAAATCCATCAAGAAACATTTTGTCAATGAGAAATTCGTATCTATCCGGTTCTTGATGAATTTTATATACAAATGCCTTGTGTTTGATGAGATTTATGGACAAATATTTGTGTCTATTAAACACTTTCTTGTTGGGTACGAGTGCCAACTTGTTTTGCATCAAGCTCTGGTTCTTGATTTTCTTCAAGCTTCACATGCCTCTTACTTGTTTCATCCATTAGAAATTTTCTTACAAAGAAATCAACTCCTGAAAAAAAAAAATCTTATTGTTGCAGGGAATGTAGAATTAATAACCTGAACAATCTTTAGGGTATCATACAAATATGCCTTTAGTAGATCATGGTTCAATTTTCTTAAAACTTCTTGTCTTACATAAGATTTACTACTCCAATCCTTGAGGTAATATAAAATGGAACCTTTCCATGCTAAATCTCATGTGGTGTCTTATCTACCATCTATATATTTAAAATATAAGGGGCAGTAAGTAGACATAACTTCAAAATGATAAAGGAATAGTACTTTTTCTTAACAAATATTGAACCATATCTAGTAAGTATGATTCCTCCTCTTAGACACACCATTTTGTTGTGGTGTTCTGTGAGGAGTGAGTGTCAGACAATCCCATGACGCCTAAGTTGATCTTGAAACTCTTAGCTTAGGTACTTGCATCCTCAATAAGATCCAATAATTTTAACGGTCTTGTTGAGTTCATTTTCAACTTCACTTTGAAACAATTAGAACATTTCAAATGATTTATGCTTATGTTTTTTTTAAGAATACATATTAATAATGAATAAATTCGTTAGTGAAGGTGATATAGTATTTGTCACCATATCTAGACATTACTTTTAAAAGGACCACATACATTATTATGTATGATTCCTAATAAATCACTTGGTCTTTTACTTGATCCAAAGAGAGGGGATTTTGTCATCTTTCCACATAAACAAGATTCACATATATCAAATGATTCATCATCATTTTCCGTTAAAATTCCATTCTTTTTAAATTAGGATATGCACTTTTTAAATTAGGATATGCACCTTGTTAATCACATAAAACTTCTTTGTGAACAACATTTGATGTGTAGATTCCATCATTATCAAACTTTTTTCCGACTTTACTAATACCTTGGTATTGACACGTGATATTCCTCTGGACAACGCCACATAAAGGTGGCTATGTGAGAATACTGATTCTGGTAGATAAACACCTACATTTGGAATTATTTTTCCTTGAGCTTTATTGATTGTCATAGAGAAACTAAGCTGAATTGGAAACTACTTTCTCTTTAGTTTGAATAGGAACATCTCATAGTCAGACGGACATAGAGGAATTCTTTGTAAAAACACTCTTTTTCCAGCATGTTGGCCAACAACTGTCTCTGCATCAATGACATTTTGTTGGAAAGCTCGACATATCAATCTGGTGCTATTACATAACCCATTTGAAGGATCGATATTTCGCAAAAGTATTACAGGACACCCAGTTTTTAACCGATGATAATGAGGGGGTACACCACTGACATTTAGCGAGTTCAAATATTCCATCGGATATAATTTATTTTTGTCATCTTCCGCTTCATCAAAACTGTAGTAAACGTTTTGCTCGCCAGAAAATCGTTCGATCAACTTATTATTAATCTAATCAACACTTTCATTTTTAGTTGACAATATCGCCCTCCAAATGATAAATTTTGAATCGGCTTCATTGGATTGCAAAGAAGGAAATATTGGATCAATCAGAGCGTCCATTGAATTAGTTTTATCAGTGTATGTAATGGACATGTTATCAGGTATACGAATAAAGAAATTGTCCAATGTTTCCTCCTTTTCATCACCGACTCATTATAAAAAATCAGAAAATCATGGCTCATTTACCGCTATCACGTTGATATTTAATCGAAGCCTTTTAACTGAAGCCCATAGAGGTGACATTCGTAAGCTAGAGCCGACAATTTGTTCTCGAGTGCCACGTCTCACGACTAGAAACACTTGTATAAAGTCACCTCCCATAACCATTATCTTTCCAACGAAATAGAGCTTCTCGTATGTGATGTCTTGCGTTGTCCGGTCAACTGCTTTTACCGCCTGCCTCTTAGCCATTGCTGCTTCTTCCCATATGATTACCTTTGCCTCGCGAAGTATTTGAGCCTTCCCGCTTTGTTTAGTGATCTTGCACATCAATTTATTATCAAGATTGAGGGGAATTCCAAATCGTGAACGAGCTTTTCTCCTTCCTGGCATGTTGTTAGCCGCAACACCTAACGTGGCAGTTGCAAGTGAAATAAGACCACAGGAACGAATATTGGCCAACAAAGCTTTGTACAAAAATGTATTTCCAGTTCCATTCGGACTATCTATGAAGAACACACCCGGAATATTTTCATCCACATGCCTCATTATCTCATCATATGCAAACTTTTGGTTTGGATTGAGAGAGTCTCGTGTATGTAAGTCTTCATATTCCACATTAATGGAGTATTCTTCTTGCACCTCACGATAGCCTATGGATTGTAAATCGATGTGTGAAATGACATTTGGAAGGTCGTAATCACTCAGCTTTTTATTCATAGATTCTAGGATGACTCTAATGTCGATGAGGACCATATTTTGCACACGTTTGACGTATCCATATTGTTTCCTATAATCTTCAGAAAGAGAATCATAATGGTCGTACGATAACTTGCGAACATTTCCTGGTTAGTATCGTCGCAAATAACCTTCTAAGTGTGCAAGGAAATTGAAATAAGGAAGCCTCTACAAGACATTGTGATAAATTATCATCGGTCTCTATTAAACCTCTTTCAAGAGCCGCTTTTCGAAATGTAGGGTGTAATATACCATTGACTGTGTATAAATATTCAAAGTAGGTAGGCCGAGTAATATGACATAAAAGCAGGCGTAGGTAGTATCTCTCTCCCTCAACTGGATTAGCATAAACCAGTCAACCAATCATTGATTTATGGTTCCTGATCCTCTAACTGTCAAAAATCAAACGAAAATTAATCTTATTATTATCATGTTTTCATTAAAATAGTATCATACTAAGAATAAAATATATATTAGAATTTGAAATTACTGTAAATGTTAGTAACATTTACAAATAACAACATACTTTACATTAATTTCTTCCAATTACCGCATTTTACTTTGAAGATTCAAAGTATAATTTCCTAATATGGAAAAAACCAATGTAACAATTACAAATAGCAACATACTTTACATGTGTATAATAACATCCAAAAATGAAATTCCGGATTTGTAACTTAGTCATTTTAACATATGAACCAAATATGTCTTTTAGTCTTCCATTGATTGTAATACTAACTTATTTTTCTCTTAAAAATAAAAACAACCACACAACGTGCAAAATTAACCAAAACAACATTGTACTTTTTATGCCCAATGTTTAATAGCGATTTAAAAAAAATTAGGACAAAAAAATTGAAAGAAGAATCAACATACAAAGGCATCTATTGAATTTCACATGCATAGTCAATTAACTAATACAAAATCAAGAAGATTTGTGTCCTTAATGGAATAACAAAAAAGATGTTGTTGTGGCTTGTAGGAATGGAATGAACTTTACATATAATTTTTTTTATAGTATATATAAATACAATATATGGTTTTAACTTTTAATAGTAATACTATTCTATATGTAATTTAATTATAGTTATATAGTTTATACAAAACAAAAAACATAATCATAATAAAAGCTCATTAAATTCCAAATAAGATAATATAAAAAAATAATTTTACTTCTAGTTATTTTTAAAAAAGAAACATATCATTTAATTAAATATCATGAAATTCTAAAAGAAAATTAAATAAAAAAGGGTTATATTACAATTTTCATTCCAATACAGGACGGAATGAAAATTAATAAAAGGGAAGGAATCAGAATTCAAATGCCTTTGGGAATGCTCAATTCCGTTCCATTCCGCCAATTCCATCATACCAAACAAAACAAAATAATTCTTAATGCAAAAAAAAAAAAAAAAAAAAAAAAAAAAAAAAAAAAAACTTGATAATAACTGAAATAAAAATAAAGATTTTACCAGGACTTAAATTTGAAAACATTAGGGGAAGTCAATGCACCATCATTTTCAATAATAGTCAACTCATCTCCAAAATAATTATGACTACTTTGCATTGAATCATTCACCATGCCTTTGGCACACCCGAGACCCACCTACATTTCATATTGTAATGACCTATTTTTTCCAACACACGTTCAACTCTTGCAAAGCTTTCCGAACCACTGTCACTATCTCATGAGGATGTGCTCGAGACTGTAAAAAGAAAAATAAAAAATAGTAAGAAAAAAAATGTTTAATTTATTTAATTATTTCAGGAAACTTAACCTAAAGTCCAAGGGCTCATTTTCTTTTGACTTGGTCTCTGATATTCATTCCTTGATAATCCATGTAAGTAGATGAGTGTTGTTCCATAATTGGAGAAGTAAGAGCTTCATTTGAAGTCATGCGGTTGAATCCATCCTGTATTTTTTTCAGCCAAGGGCAAATCGGTAAATTGACAAAATTTGGATATATCATATCATATATGTAATATATATACGTGTATAGACCATAGATATATGAGTAAAGAAATTTTGTTTCCCATTTTATAGAATACATGACAAGCTTTTAAAGGATGGTTTTCATGAGAAGGGCATTTTTGACTTTAAGCACCTGCAAAATGTTTTATAAAAATTATATATTTTGACAAAAAAGTCAAAAACACCCATCTTGTTATACCCTATTTTAGAATTTTACTTATCTGACCTTCATGGGTATCTTTCCTTTTCCAATTAACTTGGCAAGATCAAGCATAATGTTGTTTGTGCTATGATTACCATGGATTCTTCAAATCTGATTAAGGTTGTTTATTCTTTTAACAATGGTCAAAAGATGTTGTGCTTAAATTGTAAAAAAGAAAAAAATTGTTGGTGGTTAAATTGAAAAAAAATTCTAAATTAAAGTCTCAGTGGTTAAATCAGATAAATACTTTTCTAGTGGTTAAAAACATAAACTAAAAACTTTTCACACAATAGTGATTTTGACAAAAACAATTGAAGTTATAAAGCTTATCTGTAAATCTGATTCGATGTTAAAACTTTTTTTTGCGAAAACTGTCTTTATTCTGCAGCCTTAACTGATTAAAGAACACCAAGAAGTTAGATGCTTACCTGTAAAACTTCTTGTTGCAAGATATTTTTAATAAACTAATTTTATCAGCAAATTTAATAAAAAAAATCAAAAACAAAAATAAAAAAAATAAGAAAAAAAATGTTTAATTTATTTAATTATTTCAAGAAACTTAACCTGAAGTCCAAGAGCCCATTTTATTTCGATTTGGTTTTTGATATTCATTCCTTGATCGTCCATGTAAGCAGATGGGCATTGTTCCATAATTGGAGAAGTAAGAGCTTTGTTTGAATTCATGCGGTTGAATGCATCCTATATATTTTTTTTCAGCCAAGGGCAAATCGGTAAATTAACAGACTTTGGATATATCATATCATATATGTAATATTTATATGTGTATAGACCATAGATATATGAGTTTCAATGAGTGAGTGATGACTCAATATCAATTGTTAGGTTAGAGGAAATAGTTACCGCAAGAATTTTACAATTTAGATGATTTCAATCTATAATTCCATCACAAAAGAGTTGTTTTCCAGGCTTGTTCACTAACCTGTGCAAGCCATTGCCAATCGATAGTTTGTATCAACTAAAAGCAAATTACAATGGTTATATATGTCATAATCAAGAACACTTTGAAATATAAAAGAAAGTCTAACCTTTCCATTAGCTTTCCATGGTTTCTTTGACTTGAAATAATCAAAGAAAGTAGGGAAAAAAATACATGTAACAACAAATATTAGTCTTAAGGATATTTCCCATTTTTTCCTAAAAATAATAAAAGAAAGAAGGAAAAAATACATGTAAGAAATAATAGCACCAATATAGCTATCACACAAAACATTTAGCACATAAAAGCATTTTAGGCATCCTTCCTAAAATAAACTAGTGCTTGTGTCAATTTAGGTGTACTACCTAACATATTTTAGACACACTGCTCACAATCATTACTTAGCATTCTAAGTTTAAGTCTAGAAATTTCCTACAAATTCCTAGTTCACTTAAACTAATGCTCTGATACCAACTGTGGCATCCCCATTTTCACGGCTAGAAAAGACCAATTTGTTTATGCTTTGTTTTATAAAATCAGAGTAATCTTTTAAAGAAAACGGTTGCGGAATTTGTTCCCAAAACAAGATATGATAATAACTTATCAAAACATTTCTCAAAGAGAATGTATTTTCATTTAATAATAAAACCTCGGGATGTCATGTTCCGATACAGACATATAAGCATAAACAGAACTTACATTCAATTACACTAATGATTTATATCTCCTTTAAATCTCTGTGTGAAATATGTCTTCGTATCGATACCTGTGATACAAAGAAAACTGAGTGGGTCAGGCTTGGGAGCCTGGTGAGAATATAGGGTTTTCATCCCACAATGTTATATCATATATTTATAAATATAGAACATTCAAATTTGTACAATTGCACCATATAAAGGCAACTCTTATCCCACCCCCATCGATCCTCACAACGATACGATCTAAACTCTCGTATCTAAAATTTTCCTCGTTACTTGATCCCTACTCACGGATCTAAAACTATCCTCTTCACTGATCCATACTCACGGATCTAAAACTAACCTTTTTTCACCTGATCCATACTCACAGATCTAAAACTACCTGATCCATACTCACAGATCTAAAACTAACCTCCTGATCTGATCCATACTCCCGGATCAATAATTGTACCCAATCCATACTCCCGGAATAAGGACAATTAACTATACCCTAATCCTGATCTGATCCATACTCCCGGATCAATAACTGTGACCAATCCATACTCTCGGACTAGGGACAATTAACTTAGTCTTAATCCATACTCCCGGACTAATAACAAGTTTTATCTTTTTACCTGATCCATACTCCCGGATCTAAAACTAACCTCTTGGTCTAATCCATACTCGCTGAATAACTAGATCAACAACAACATCGGGGCCTCTCATTTGTTTATCACACATCAACTATCTACCCATGTTCTAACCAACATATTAGTAGATAAAAATATATATTTTTATACATAGTTTAAAACCTGTATAACATTCTCATTCAATACCTATTCCACATAACAGATGAGGCATACCCACATAACACATATTTCATAGAGAATAAATCAGATCTATGAGATAGAAGAAAGTGAATATACATTCACACACATAACAACAAAATTATACACATAAAACGTATTTCGTATAAAATACATCATAATTATGCATTAGAAGAAAGTAACCATACACTCACTTGATTAGAAGATGATCGGACAACACTACGACTTGTAGAAGTAGTATTCTTCGGTAGATCTGGAAGATCTTCACAAAAACCGGGCTCCTCGCGGGCAGAGCTTCGGCTCGGGAATCACACTTCTCGGGATCTTCGGGGCCTCGGGACTTGCTTTGGGGCTTGGGAATGATACCGGGGCTTCGGGATATTTCTTGCACGAAAAACGATGCAAAAACGCGAGAAAAAGGGAAGAAATGAGCAAAGAAGTCGGCTGCCCTCGACACCCTTTTATAGGGGACTGGAAGCCCATTTACGCTGGGCGTAATGGGGATAAGACGCTGACTCCCCCCCCCCCCTGGATAATATCGGATATTTTTAATTAAATTTAAACACCGAAATTATTTAATAAACTTCAAAAATTCATATCTTCCTCATACGAACTCCGTTTTCAACGTTCGTTATATCCCCGCGTAGGTGATACTACGTTCTAAAACTTTTGTTTAGACTCCGTTGGCTAATTTTGACGTTATTTTTATTATTTATTTTTAGTAGATCGGGACATGAAAACTCCGTTATAAAATCATAACTTCTTTATCCGACGTCCGTTTTCGCCTATCTTTTCATCGTTTCACTACAATTAACGAGATCTTCGATTCTCATTTAGATTGTTTCGGCTAAAAACTGCTCGATCTCAAATCGAGTATTCGGGTTGCATACCGCTAAATCGAAACTTAGAAAAATCATAACTTCCTCATACGAAGTCAGATTTGGACGTTCTTTTTATGCACGCTCATGGTTTAACGAACTCTACGACTTTCGTTTAGATTGCTAAGGCTAAATATCACTCTAACGTAAATTTACTTTTTACATCATTCTGCATCGTGTCGGTTCTGTCGCGAAACTTCGACAGGTCATAACTTCTTCGTTATAACTCGGATTTCGGCGTTCTTTATATGCACGGAAACCTTGTAACATATACTATAACTTAGTTAAGATTATTCATTCTAAATCATCTTTCATCAAAAATTAATTTTTGACGCCTATCGTTTTTAAATTGACTAGCCCGGATCTACGGGCGTTACAGTGATGACACGACGTTTTGAGGGAGGATCCAGATCAGGTTCAGGGACAGGTGACCAAAGCGGGCCAGTTGTGTCCGAGGACTGGATTACAGAGATCCTTCAGTAGGAGGTTGTTGCTCACTTCCAAGCATAGTTTCCAGAGATGTTTGGGTCTTTTAACACCTCCGTGGTGGATTATTTTGATGAGCATCATGTTGCATTATCTAAGGTGGCTGGTGTTGCAGCCACCGCAGCCGTTGCCACTACTGGGATTGGTGTTGGAAGAGTCTTCTAGTTTCGGTACTTCGACAATATAGAGCCCTCGAAATTTGATGGAGTTCAGGACCTGATCATAGCCATGAGGTGGCTGTATTACATTGAGTGGTGTTTCTTCAGTTGCTCTTGCCCAGCTGACCAGAAGGTCAGGTGTGCTTTGAACCTTCTGAGGTTCGGAGCGAAGGATTAGTAGAGAATTGTTACAAGTTCGTATTCTCCTAGGTGGAGGACTACAGTGACGTGGGAACATTTCTTGGAGATGTTTTGTTCTAAATATGTTTTGCTAGTGGGACGTGAGAGGTTAACTCAGGAGTACTTGGACTTGAGACAGGGGATGGAGTCAGTGACGGAGATCACCAAGATGTTCATAGAGAGAGCCATGTGTTGTCCTGATTTTGTTGCTTCTGAGCAAGCTTAGATGGCCCATTACTTAAGCATACTCAAGACTGATATCATGCAGTTTGTATCCATTCAACATTAAGGTCATTTGTTGGAGTTGTAGGAGGCTGCCAAGCTGTGTGAAATTCAGATGGAGCTCCAGAGGATAGATCAGAGACTAACCCTGTCGCAGTTGCAGCCTGCATCTAAGTGGTTTAAGGCCACTAATGTTAGATCTGGGGGTCGAAAGGGCCGCACTTGTGGGAAGTGCGACAAGGTTTATGAGGGTGCTTGCCGATCTTCTTTTAGGTACGACAATTATGGCCGACAGGGCCATATGGTGAGAATTTCCACAAGCAGGCCTTAGCACTTGGCTCCAAGATTTGTTACCACTGTGATCAGGTTGGCCATGTGAAGGAAAAGTGTACCACACTTGTTACTAGGCCGACACATGCTTCAGCTCCGGCTACTCTAAGTATCACATATGAGATTCATGGCAGGGCACAGCCCTCGATGGCTCGAGGTCGTGCTTTTCAGCTCACTGCTGAGGAGGCCATAGCAACTCCATAGGTTGTGACTGGTATGTTTCTATTTATTGTTATGTTGATCAAGTTTTATGTGTAACATCCGGACTTTTATCAGGTATCTTGTTAATTGCATTTTGTTGATTTGTGAGGGGGACTCGGCGAGTTAGAGCTCAGACTCGCCGAGTAGGGACGCGGATTTGGACGCAGGATCGCGCCTGGACTCGGCGAATCTGCGCTGTGTAATGAAACCCTAATTTCTCGGGTTTGAGACTTATTTAAAGGGCCTAATGGCCGTCATTTGTGCCCACCAGCCCTTGAGTGAAACCCTAATCGTGTGTGAGCACTTGGAGCTAAGTATTGACCTTGAAGGTGCCATTTTTGCAAGGAAGAGAAGAGCTAGCCAAGGGAGAGCAAGAAGGAGCCATTTCTGTGGGTTAGGGGTCCAGAGCATCATTTTGTGGTAATAAATCCGAATTATCTTCTTGTTTGTTACTGTTTATTTAGATTTAGGGTTGTTGAACCCTTTCATGGCTAGGTTTGGTGTCCTTTTTGGTCCCTTATGAGGTTGGAACCATAGATCTGGACCCTTAGGGGTCTAGAGTGTCCCTTTACCCAAGATTTTTGGGGATCAATGGAGGCTTTGGATTGGAATCCTCATGCCTTAGGTCGAAAACTCCATTATGGAGCTATAGTGGGTATTATGGGCACCAAGATGGGAACTTTACGTGATGAATCAGTCGAGGGAGGCCAGATCTATAGTTTTGGAAGCAGATCTAACCTTAGAAGCGAGATTGGAGTGATTGCATGGCACGGACTCGTCGAGTCTGT